CCCAAGCACACAGGATACAGTGATGAGTTAGTGGCTCACAGTTGGTAATAAATCTCATTGCACCATGGTACACAGAGTCCATAGCATGATAAGATAAGATACACCTTTATTGATCCCATAATTGAGAAATTCCAGTGTTACAGCAGTCAAGGAGAAAGTCAGATTAAAGATTTCAAATTTAAACTTAAAAAACTTAAATAACTAGGCATGCAAATAAGTACAAAAAATACAAGAGACAGCAATAAATAACAATAACAATAACAATAATAATAATAATAATAAAAATAAAAATAATAGGAAGTGGATAATAATGAGCAGCAGTGAATGAAAATGACCAGTGGATAAGGTGCAAGTGATTGTATGTGCAAAAACAGCAGACTGCTGTGGTGTCCATAGTGTATATATAAATATATACATACAATATACAATATATATATATCTATAAAGTGTCCATGGTGCAGTTTACTGTGAGCAGTGCTGGTTATGTAGCCTGACAGCAGCAGGCAGGAAGGACCTGTTATAGTTTTCCTTCACACACTTTGGGTGAATCAGTCTATCGCTTAAGGAGCTCTCCAGAGCTTTTATCTCCTCCTGCAGAGGATGGGAGTCATTAGTCCTCAGAGATGACAGCTTGGCTGTCATCCTCCTTTCTCCCACCACCTGCACAGAGTCCAGAGAGCATCCCAGGACAGAGCTGGCCTTCTTGATCAGCTTGTCCAGTCTCTTCCTATCTGCAGCCGAGACGCTGCTGCCCCAGCAGACCACTCCGTAAAAGATGGCTGATGCCACCACAGTGTCAAAGAAGGTCTTCAGGAGTGCCCCCTGTACTCCAAAAGACCTGAGTCGCCTCAGCAGGTAGAGTCTGCTTTTGCCTTTCCTGTACAGTGCTGTTATGTGGTTAGTCCAGTCCAGTTTATTGTTAAGAAACACTGGCTGCAAACACTGGGTGGATGCATTCATATATAATACACCCCCATAATCAAACACATCCCACAAGAATGTTCATTTGCTGAATCCAGGCTCTCTACGGTGGAGATATGAAGCTTGTTTCTTGTGTCTCTGTGTTATATGATGGTAGATTTAAGGTCAAGGGATAATGATGGGCATTTTCAACTTTCTTAACAGACGAAACAACTAATAGATAAATTAAGAAAATGATCAGAAGATTAATCAACAATGAAAGTAACTCCTACTTCATGGCCCTCAAAGGAATACTTCACCCCCCAAATGATCATTTGTATATCAGTTATTCGCCCCGTGTTACGTTGACTTTGTGAAGAAAATGTTACTTTTTATTCACATGCCTCCATGTTGAACAAGTAATCCAAAAAGGACAAACATACTTGATGAATACAAGACCTAGAGGATCGTGTTTAACAACAGCAAAACTAAACATCTGTTTCCAAACTGTCATACAACTCGCACAGTATAATCCAAGTCTTATTTATATTTAAACGCATGCATTTTTGCTAAAACAGTGATATTTCAAACCCCTCCACATAAACAGTGTGGGCGCACTACTCATCAGTGCATGAGACTGTTTATGCAGAGGTGTTTTAAATACTGAGGTTTTAGCAAAAATGCATGTTTGGGAAGTACTGAGCATATGACAGGATAAATGAGACTTGGATTATACTGCACAAGTTGTGTGACAGTTTGTAAACTGATGTTTTGATAAGTTTAGCTGTTTCAATTAATCAAGAATTATTTCTGTTTTTGGATTCTTCATCCACTGGATGCATGCCAGAAAAGCAAAGTTTTCTTCCCAAATTCAGAGTAATACTGGGTGATTAATTGAGGGGTGAAGAATTATTTAAACTTTCAAACTCACCCAATGTGATCATCTCTTAGACTGGTTGCACAAGGAGGGTGTCACTTAATGGACAGTATTGAGAAGAGGAATGATTGCATTAACAGATAACTCCCTCAATGTACATATGAACGTGCACGTGTTGTATTAGGGCAAACTTTAAACTATCCTTTAATATGGACCTATCCTGTGTATATCTCTAAGTTACATGTCTTATGTCTCCCACCCTCCAGTGGAACTCCCACGGCTATGATGTTGCCAAGACATTTGGCTCTAAACTAACTTCAGTGTGTCCAGTTTGGCTTCAGCTCCGCCGAAGGGGACCTGAAACCTTTGATGTCACAGGACTGCACGATCATGATCCAGGTAGATGACCTGCATCTCTCGCAGTCTGATTAAAAGTGTTTTGTAGTGACTAATGTACATAAATGGGTCTTTGTGTCTCTGCAGGCTGGGTCAAAGCTGTACGCAAGTCTAACAAAAAAGTCAGGATTGGTAAGTAGATGTCCTCCCCCCTGACCACAGCTCAGATCTGTTGATGTGTGCAAGTGACTGCAGATGAGACTCTTATTGTTTTGTTTGTTTCATTTCCTCTACCCTCAGTGCCCAGGCTGTTATTTGATGGCTGGTCTTACCAGGACTACATGAGCGTGCTGGGGAGTGAAGATGAAATTGAAGAGCTGGGAAGCGAGCTGGTGGATGTTGCAAAGGTAATTAAGTGTTGTGTTTAGCTTCAACTCCCTCGCAGCAGTGTTGTGTTTGTCCTGAGTGTGTCTAATGAAGCTGTGGCTTTGCAGACTGAAGGTTTCGATGGTTTCACCGTGGAGCTGTGGAGCCAGCTGGGAGGGAACAAGAGGAAGTGAGTTATTCTGGTGGCACGTCTGTATTATTACTCTGACCATCATTTGTCTTCTGTCTGAGATGATGGGGGAAACACAAATAACGAGACATGTACCATCTTCATACAGGGAGCTGGTCCATTTGGTGAAACACATATGTGAGACTCTGAAGGCTAAAAGATTAGACTGCATTCTTGTCATCCCGCCTGCTGTGACCAGGTGACCAGTTTACTTTCAACAAATATAAATGCTAAAAAATCTGTGAAATTGGTGCTGACTTTGCTTTTGCCTTTGTTTTTCTTTGCCATCACAATCAGTGTGGGGCAGCCAGGTATGTTTGGCAGGGAGGAGTTTGAGCAGTTGGCCCCTGTAGTCGATGGATTCAGCCTCATGACGTACGACTACTCCAGCGGTTCCAGGTGAGAGTCACAGACAAGTCCGTAGATTAATTGTGGCAGATATGGAAATGTTTCAGGTGGTGACATGATTAGAGTAACTCACAGTTTTAAAGTGGAGACAGACAACTCTAACTTTTACCCCCCTGAGCGTTTCCAAAGAACTTTTCTTGATACTTCTTAGCAACTGGAGAAAGCTACCAATAGCTACTGGGGGGAAACCAAAAACACTATCTTCTTTCTGTGTTGGCTGTGACATAGTTAACACACGTCCTTTGCGATATAAATCAAGCCTTTTTTTTCTTTGGAGGTCACACCTGTTGGCAGCCAGAATTGCATAATGAAAGTGAGCCTTATAGGGAACTTTCACATTGTGCAATCAACCTTTACTTCGAAATGATAAGTTAAAGCAAAAACCTTGTTTATTTACACTTTGATGCAGACACTATTCAGAGTTATGCTGCTTTATTTTATTTTATTTTTTTAATAGACCGGGCCCGAGCTCTCCCCTGCCCTGGGTGCGAGACTGTGTGCTCCAGCTTGCTCCCAACACTCAGTGGAGGCAAAAGATCCTGCTTGGACTCAATTTGTATGGCCTTGATTTTGCAAGCCAGGGAACAGAGCCAATCCTGGGAGGAAGGTAAGATAATGATTTTAACAATTAAAGTTAAATATGATACAAAATATGAAGTACTACACTGATGTAGTATTGAGCTAAACAGTTTCAGTCTCATTATGAACGTCCTTCCTTGTCAAAACCTGGTGCCTACATTACCCACAATGCAACGTGGCAGAGGACAGTTCAGCTGGAGATTCATGTGTGTAATGCTAGTAGCAACTAATGTAGCCTTGAGCCACTTCCCTTGAGGAGACATGAGGAGCAGGCTACACAGGTCTGATAAACTCGCTTGTTTGTAACTCGTTTACATTTTTTTAATACCCGAACCAGTGCTGCCTCAAGCGACATCACTTGAAGCAATTTAGCAGATTTTGCAAAGCTCCCTGTGGACCCAAAGTAAAAGTTTTTTGTGGAAAACATCCCTGTGTGGGTGGGTTTTGATCATACTTGATTGACAGTGGTCTGGCAACAACCACACAACTGATTTTTAACTCTTTAAACTGACTAATGCTCCAAAATACGTGACATCAACTTTTTCCAACTAAGTTGTCAAACAAGGGAGAGGATGGAATGTTTTTAACTATGGCAGAATTGTAGGTTTAGTGTCACACCATGGCAACAATTACACAGAAGTCTTAGTAAAAGGCTGATTGAGAAAATATATTTTCAGAGTATTCAACACTGTGTTAAACTTGTCGCTGATTTCCTGCAGGTACATCGAGATTTTGCGAGAACACAGACCAAAACTACTCTGGGACGAATATTCTGCAGAGCATTACTTCAGTTACAAGAGGTACTGATTCAGTGACACTTAAAGTCAACAAATTATGGCTTAAATCTTTCGGCAGCATCATTTAACAAGATCTGTTACATTAATTTCAGGAACAACGCAGTTAAGCATGTGGTGTACTATCCATCGCTGAAGGTAAGTTTTAAGTTCACTTTATTAAACAAAGTGTTTTTATCAGGTTTACTGCTACATGGGGAAATTAATGTTATCTAAATTCTTTTACAGTCGATGTACCTGAGGATCTCTTTAGCTACTGAACTGGGGACAGGAATTTCCTTGTGGGAGTTAGGACAAGGTCTGGACTATTTCTATGATCTCCTATGAGAGTTGGACTTGATAGTGAAGACTGTGGACCATCAACACATGGATTTTTCGTTCTTTGAACATGGAGCACCAAAATTCAAGCGCTGTGTGCAGGTATTTTTTTTTTTCAGTTTTTGGTTTCTGGGTTACATGAACTCTGGAACGAGCTGTTGACAGGATTTAGTTAATACTAAACCTGTTTGAGGGTCATGAAAGTGTTGAGAAATCTTCTCTACACGTACAATTCTGGTACTTCAGTTTCTTTTATTCCATTTCATTGATGGTACTGTGGAAGAATTTCAACGTGTACAGTTTAGTGACGAGCACAGTGACACATCTCCATTCAACAACAGAGGGTGCATGATCATCTACATGTGTAACGCTTAAGTGAAGGGTTCTTCTCTTGTTCATGTGCCACAAACAACTGCAGCCTCTCCTCAGTTCAAATACAGAAATCTTCTTCTGTTTTGCTCTCCATTGTCCACTGTGAAGATGCATCCTTCTTTGGCTTTGAACATCCTCAAATCTGCATCTGCTTTTTCTCTCTCTCTTTTTTTAAAATTTCCAAATCAAGACATTTGATTGTGTGGCTTTTTATTGGGTTTATAATAACAACATTGACAAGTCACCAAACATCTGTTCTGACCAGCATCTTCCAATATTTGTCAGAGATGAATGTTTGTTTAATTACATGAATATAAATGTGGAACAAGTGAGCAGTTGAATTTGAGTTCTCTGGTTTTTAACACTTCCTGTTTTTACTTGGCACTAGAGAGCAGAATTAGATTATTTACAGCGAGTGTGGTTGACTGCATATTCTGCCCAGTAATCAGGTGTCTGTCTATGACTACGTGCACAGCATCTTCTTGACTTGCTGGAAAACAAAAAGATAAACATGAGATGGTTTTAGGAATGCTGATTTAGTATTTACTCAAGCAAATTGGTGTCTGTGCTCTGCAGGTTGGCTCACCTGTGTATGATCCACCACTGTCTTTCACAAAGTCTTCCACAACCAAGGGCAGGTTGGCAAAATCAGGCCTCCGCACCAGTTCAAATACTGATGGCTTTAAGCATAAACAGTTACTGTTATTAAAGGGTTAACTGTGGTATTTTTCAGCCTGGACCCTGTTTTCCCATATTTTGTGTCTGAGTGACTTATGGAACAACAATTTTCTAGATTGGTCCAGTATTGAATGAGATCAGCAGCCAAACATGCTGCAATATAACAACTTGGGGCATGTGTGCACCATCAATGTACGTCCACTTTAAGTGCTTGTCTTTGCCACTGACAGGCTCAGATTGTCATTATAAGTGTCTGACATCATTATGGAAAGGATCCGTACAAAGATAGAACCTTATGGTCGAGTAAAACCTTGTTGAACCAGAAACAGCCCAGAAATTGCTAACGACAAAGCCACCAAACTCCATTTAAATTAATAGTAATTTTATCTTAGTAAAACACATTTTAGCTTAACTTGATAAAAACAAAATAAAATTCACAGAAACCATCTTAGGTTGTCTGTACACTGTTCCAACAATCAACAACTCTGGTTTGGTTGAAATAAACCGGTAATTTACCCAGTTAGATGTGAAAACATGCTGTCTCTCTACATGCTAAAAACACTATTTATTTCTGGCGGGTTTGGTGATAGTGATTTTGGGGCGGTTTCTTGTCAAACAAAATGGATCTTACTCTTAAACAAAAGGTCTATCTCTGTAGGGATCCTTCCCATAATGATGTCAGATGTATAAAATAACAATCTGAGCCTGTCAGTGGCAAAAACAAGCACTTAAAATGGATGTAAATTGGCGGTGTGCACATGCTGCAGTGTTCTTGTTCAATACTAAACCAATTCCAAAAATTGTTCCCATTAGTCACTTGGACAAAAAAAAACATGGGAAAATACAGTCCAGGTTAACAAATACCTGTGTTGCCTTTTAAATACATTAACACAAAAAGACATTTTGGTATACTAGCTCCATTTTTAATTAAGGAAGACTAACCCCTGTTAAGCTGTAGCCACTGAAGATCCAACTCTGTCCCTCGGTGGCACAGCACAGTGCCGACACTCCTTGCCCCACCGCACAAACAGGTTCTGCACACAAAGAAACAAGCCTCTATGGCAGACATATAGATTTCATACTGACTGCTTTTTTAAAATTAGCCCCACACTCACTTTGGTGAGAGATGAAGTGTGTGAGAATGCGGTGCAGAGACCCGCTGTGTGCCAGGTCATTCAGCGCTCCGGGGCAGTCCGGGATGAGCAGCGCCTGGTATCGAGCACCTGGAGAGGGTCATTGTGATGTAACTGAGTAGAGTCCAACCAACAGCAAAGATAAACACAGCCAAATGAACATGAAATGAATGTTCTCACCATCTATAGATTCAAGTTTGGCAGGTGTTGCGTAGGGTTTTACATTGAAGTCCTGCACCCATCTAGCAGTGCTTTCATCGACTCCAATAAAGTCTATTGGCTTCCCCTGCAATTCAAAAAAATAAATAATGAAGAATGAAGAACAAGAATGAATGTTTAAGCTAAAAAATAATTTTAACAGCTGAAACACAATAGACATATTAACTTAGTATTATTCAGTTATAAATAGTCTTACCCCGGGTGTGGCTGTTTGGAGATTAAACACTGAGGTACAGAGGCTGAAGGACTGATGGAAAGACGCTGCTGACACCCCTGAAGAAACAAAACACACTAGTTTAATTCAGTGTAGCAGAGAGTTTACAGGTACAACAGAAAATATGGCTTTATTGTTTTATCTAAGCTACCTAGCAAGTGATGTCTGACCACAGTTAAAGGGATAGTTCGGATTTTTTGAGGTGCAGTCGTATGGGTGGGATACTTATCTGCAGTCAATGTCAGCATAATGTCAGTTGGCATGCCCCCAGTTTGGAGAAGCAGGCAGGAGTCTGACACAGAAGCTAAGCAATGTACTGTTGTGGATATGGGTCAGCAACAAAATGTAATTTAGCCCCCTAAAAAATCATTATCAGTTTAAGTGTATGATATATTGAGAGTATTTTCACTGCTTTACCTTTCCGTCAGACAGCCCGTTCCCACTCCTCAAAGCCACCAAACTCCATTGACAAAAACAGTAATTTTAGCATGCTGAACACGGGGGCTGCTGGTCTACCCTTGCTTTGATCAGTTAGTTAGTTTATCTTATTGTGTGCCATTGGGAAATCCAAAATAACCCTTTTAAACACCAAAGTCACACAATAACACAAACAAAATAACTGTTGGAGGCAGTGGTAGACCAGCAGCTCCTGTGTTCAGAGATGTTAAATCACTGCTTTTCTCAGTGGAGTCTGGCTCTGAAGAGAGTGATATAATGGCCCCATTGGAAATCAGACATTAATCAGACATTAAGATGAAGCTGTGAAAATACTCTTAATATAGCATACATAAACTAACTAACTGATCAAAGTTACGGAGATCAGCAGCTCCCATGTTCAGCATGTTAAAATGACCATTTCTGTCAATGGAGTCTGGTGCCTTTGAGGAGGGCATAGATGGGAAACTGAAGCAGTCAACAGCTTTGCCTTTGGACTGTGTGATGGAAAGGTAAAGCATTGAGAAAACGTCCAATATAGGGAACACTTAAACTGATATTGATTGTTTTTTGTTTTTTTTCGGTTGACTCGTTTCCCATCTATGCCCTCCTCAAAGCCACCAAACTCCATTGTCAGAAACAGTCATTTTAAAACCCTGAACACAGGAGCTGCTGGCCACCACTACTTTGATCAGTCAGTTAATTTATGTATGCTATATTGAGAGTGTTTTCACTGCTTCACCTTAATGCCAGACTCTGGTATCCAATGGGAAAATGAAGTCATCACATCACTCTCTTCAAAGCCAGACTCCATTGAGAAAATGAATGATTTAACATTGCTGAACACAGGAGCTGCTGCTTTATCACTGCATCCAAGTTATTTTGTTTGTGTTATTGTGTGACTTTGGCGCTTAACAGGGTTAGTTTGGATTGACCAAAGTCACACAATGACATAAACTAGCTAACTGATCAAAGCAGTGGAAGACCAGCAGCTCCAGTGTACAGCGTGTTAAAAATTACTGTTTTTGTCAATGGAGTTTGGTGGATATGATGAGTGCATATATGGGCTTTCACGTTGGAAAGGGCTGTCTGACGGAAAGGTGAAGCAGTGAAAACACACTCAATATAGCATACACTAAAATGATATTGAGGTGTGGTATGTGTTTAAAGAAACGTTATGTTGCTGACCCCTCCACAGCAGTACATTGCTTAGCTTCCTTGTCGTACTCCAGCCTGCTTCTCCAAACTGGGGCTGACTGACATCTATTGTAAGTAATATACTGATATATATAAGTACCCCATACAGCCCCACCTCACACAGACTAAACTATCCCTTTAACAGGTTGAGATTAAAAAATAAACGCTCGCTAAACTCTAACTGATACGTAACTATCTTAGTAAACTCAGTAACCGTTACTACAGTTGGTCGCTGTTATTCGTCACTTTAAAGCTACATCCGCTGCTACATGCTAACGTCACCCACCCTGAGGAGACGCTCTCGCCACAATCAAACAAGTCGGCTTCGCAGACATTTCACTTATCTCCGTGTTTCCTCCACATGAAGTATTTTTAGCTTAACTGAAGCAAAAAAGAAAATAACTGTGGGTGAAATCATACAGGAGAAATCCGCGAGGAGGAAGTAGTCACCTGACAACAACATCCGGTGAGGAGATTTCAAAATAAAGGTTCACTATTCAAGGCAATGGGGAAAAAAAACACAATTAAAAATACAAAAGTCATTGCAGAATGATAAATGGGAAGAATTTTTATTTGCATTTCAAAAGCAAAAATATATTTTATATAATCATTATTTCATCATAATTTTGTTAAACAGTGTGATGTATTATAAAAATAGATAAACATCAAGACAAACACTGGTTGCAAATCTAGCCACAGCATGCTCACATTTCTCTGCTCTTTAAAATGTATGATGTGGTAACAAGTTCATCTACTCATCATAATTTTAACATAAAAAGGAAACTATATAAAGCATGCAATAGCATTTTGCAGAAAAAACACATCGCTGCCCAGCAGCATTTCAGCATCTCTCCTGTTTGTATTTTAAAAATCATCTTGCCATAATTTGACTTGGCAACTTCACAGCATCCAGAACTGTGGGAATAACTGGGGCGTTAAAATACCTAACCAAACATTACAATCCACAATGTGACACATTTTGCGACAGTAAACAACATCAAAAATCAGTATGGGTCCTCTTTTAAATTTTGATAAAGGCAGCAAGTAAACATCATCCCCACAAGCTGAAAGAAAAAGAAGACATAAGGAACTTGTTAGCTCCACACTGCACACAGAAAAACCACTGTTCACAGTTCAGCTGCTGGGAGTCTGCACAACATTAACACATGATTTTCTCAGTGGTTAGTGCTTTACCTGTAGAAATGCAATCCCAATGCCCACTGCACCGAGAATATACAACTGACTCAAGATGAACTCCTCTAATTTCATAATGCAGCCTCCCTGGAAGCATGAGAGAGGACATAAATGAAAACCTCATTTTAATTTAACATTTATCCAGAGCCAAATGGACAGCTCTACCTACCTCCACCTTGTAGATGTTGGAGGGATGATCCCTGCGGCCACAGAGCTCACTGGGACTTTTACAGCAGCTATCGGGAACCAGCCGCTCGTTCTGTGCTGCCTGGATCCACACACAGTCGGCCCAGTCTGAGGAGTTGAAACTGCCACAACACTTGAACTGAGAGACAGAAAGATTAAAGATGAATGCTGACTAACATTGGCTTGTACTCACATGCAGGATAAAGGGACACATTTAATGTTATGTGATCAAACTGTCACTGATTTGAGTGGTGGTACTTTCTGTCAGCCTGACACTTAAATCAGACTCTCTTCCCCACCTCCTGCTGAAGCTTATCCACAGCCTGTGTGACGCTCTCCTCCCCCGGCTGCTGGTATTTTTGCTGCATGGTCTCCTTCAGGTTCTGCCTGAGCTCTTCATTCAGCTGCGAGAAAGAAAGCAGCACTTCAGTCGTTACTCAGGAGAAAATCTGTTATCTGAAAATCCCCTCCCATCAATAAAAATAGCCTGTGGTCAAATTTCTTTCCTCCCCTGTTACATTCCTCTGTATCTGAGCAATGCCCTCACATAACTCAAAATATATGAGCTCCTCTGACCTCACTCCCTGAGCATTCTCCAAATAAATTTGCAAACAAAGACAGGTGTGTTGCTTGACCGACAAAGTGCAAACAAACCATTTTATATCAGCCTGTTGGAGAAACAGTTTGATATTAAAATGGAAACAGGTGGCAGCAGATTACCTGGTAGCAGAAAGGGAAACACTGGAGCAAGAAGAAGGGGGGGAAGAAAGAGACGTGTGAGAAGGGTGGAAAAACAGCACAAATGAAGAACATACACAGAGAGGCATGCAGATAAGAGCTCACAACGGAGAGTGAAGCAACTGGGGCATTTTATAGGTGGTAAATAGATTTAAATAAAGATGATTGTGGACAAGGAATGATGTTTAAAATCACATTAAGGGATTATAGAATGATGAAAAACACAGAAAGTACATACAGAAGGAAAAGACAAGGCCAGATTTGTAATTTCTGCAGTGATTTAAACAAAAAATACAATCAGGTGGTCATGCTGTACAAGAACTTTATATTTAAAATTATATTAATATCTGTTGCTATTCTTTGTTCAAATATGTACAAACACACACAAACAGAAGGTAAAACATTCACCTCTTGGTAGGTAATGTACGCCAGCACACCAGCAATGATTTCCAGGAGGAAAACACACAGCAACAAGACCAAATACTGCAGAGGAGGGACATGAAATGAACAAAAACACAGCTGTGAATAAACTGAAGATGAAAAGCATTATTCAGATGGTGCTTCAGTTTATTTTTGTTCTAAAATATGATACATGAGCAGTTCAAGTACCTGTGCATGACTAAAAAAACAGAATAACTGATTAAACTGCGGCAAAGGAAGTAACTCATCACAAAGGTCGTGGTGAACATGAAAATAGACATAACGTCACAGAGCTCGTGCAGTTTTGCTTCTGTATTATATCCTCTCACTTGTGACTGTCTGTCTCTCTCTTGCACTCTTCAGTCGAAGCAGCTGCTTGTGATGCCCTTCATTCCTCTGGCATGAGCTGCACTCTAAATCTAAACTCTTAAAGACACACCGTGCATGACTTTGTCTGTTATATCTGACAGTCATGCCTGTCTGACATAATGAGCTGGGCTGAACGCAGGCAGACGAGACAGAAGGTCACCGAGGATTATCTTTCAACACACCAGGTAGTGTGTGTATAAACAGGAACTTAGAAGTGTCTGATTCAAATGGGGTTAATTCTTTAGTGTGTTGGAGTGAAACTAACACTTCTCTGTCACAGGGCAGTGTTTCATGTGTCTGATTCATCTTACCACAATCAACAGACTCCTCATCTCCTTCAGAGTCGCACAGCATCCAATGATCCCGGTCACTATCACAATGACCCCGGCAGCTATCAGGATGTAAGCCGAGGCCGAGTAGAGGCTGGAGCTCAGTAAACTGATGTAGTCGCTCTTATCCACCAGAGTCCACACTCCCACTGCCAGCACGGCCCCTCCTGCCAGCTGAGAGAACGCAGCTATCAGAACAACTCAAACCAGATGCTCACATCAAGAATGCACCACATTATTTTCTTTTCTTTTTCCAGGCTCCTAAAATGTGACAGTGATGTAAACAAGACAACGCCTTATTGTTTTATTGTCAGCCTCAAGAGACTGTCAGCTAAATTTGTTTTTATATGTGTTAGACATAAATCACAGTCTTGTGTCTTAGTGCAAGACCTGACTAAATCTTAAAACCTAGAGGCAAGAAAATTAAAGACTTAAAGAAATTAAAAGTTATGATATTTGATTGTCTCTGACATATATTATAACTTTTAGTGCATTGCAGACACAAAATGACAATTTGGAGCATCAAATTACACTTTTTTCTCAAATATACTTTAGGAAGAAGTTGGGGTTTTTTTCATCTGTGAGAAACAATAGAAATTGTGTGAACTGTAAACTGATTCAGTGGCACAGAACGAAAATCTACTAATGGTATTAATAATTATAACAGCAGCGGTGAGACCAAGTCACTGTTTCTCAAGCCACAAGTAAGTCTCAAGTCTTAGCACTAAAGTCCCAAGTCAAGTCCTAAGTCCTAAACTTTGAGTTTTGAGTCCTTAACAAGTCATTATGTGCTCTTGACTAAATGTAATGCCATTTTAACAACAGAATAATAATATATTACATTTACAATAGGTATCACGTATTTTCAAGTCAAAAGGCTCAAGTCTAACAGAAATCATGAGTCACTGGTATTCAGGTCCAATTGTCAAGTCCAGTCTAAAGTCATTAGATTTGTGACTTGAGTCCACACCTCTGTTTCTTTGTATAATATACATTAATCTGTGGCATTTGAACAAACACATGCCTTTAATGCTATAAGTAAAAGTTGACTATTACTGCTGGCAGTGTTTATAATTATAACAGCAAAGATGGGACCAAGTCATTGTTTTTCAAGTCACAAGTAAGTCTTAAGCTTTTGCACTAAAGTCTCAAGATAAGTCCCAAGTCAAGTCCTGAGTCCTATACTTTGAGTTTCAGGCCCTAAACAGGTCATAATTTGCTCTTGACTTAATGTAATGCCATTTTAACAACATAATATTAAAAAAAAATACATTTACAAAAATCAAAAATGTATTTTAAATGTTGTATTTATTTGTTAAAACAAGTTTGTTGGAAGTTGCTTCATCAATGTCTGTAATTTTCAACCTGCATGTTTTGCATACTTGCAGTTCGGTTTTTGTTGACCACCACGTGTTTTTATTTTTACATGAAGGTATGGTATCATTTTTTCCATCTGGTGCTCAGTAACGTAACATTAGTTCTTCATGGTTCTCTCCTGCAACTTGATAGTATGCTGTCGAATTGGGTCTGGAGAATGAAGTGTGGACTTGCTGTGAATGAATAGTGTTAACTTTAGTTTACACAGGAAATGAATGGATTGTGGCACACTATTTGTGGCTTTAATGATTTTATTAGAAAGGACAGGATGAGCGCAAAAGGATAGGAGAGAGGGGACGAAATGCAGCAAAGGGCCACAGGTCAGAATCACACCCACGGGTGCTACAGTAAGGACATAGCCTTTGTACGTGGGGCGACCACTCTACCAGGCGAAGTACTGAGCGCCCCAGAACTTTTTTAAGTACCTTTTTAAATTTGAATTGGCATAACATTTTAATTTTTGATCTTAAGGGAAGGTGTCAAGTATTTTCAAGTCAAAAGGCAAGTTCAAGTGAAGTTACGAGTCATTGGTGTTCAGGTCCAAGTCGAGGTGCAAGTCTTTTTTGATTTTGTCAAGTCGAGTCTAAAGTCATTAGATTTTTGACTTGACACCTCTGTTTAGTCGTATATTAAACATTAATCTGTGTCATTTGAACAAAGGCATACCTTTAATGCTATATGTAAAAGTTAACTCTTACCACTAATGGTATTAATAATTATAATAGTATCCAATAGAGCTTCTAACAGAGGGGTTTGTTGTCTTAAATGCAGATAAAATCTGAACACGTCCTTTTTTACTTACCCAAAAAAGAATGTTGAAGAGAAACAGTAGATATTTCAGACAAATAGTCCCACAGGTGTGTGTTTTTTCACCACCCATTCTGAAATAAAAAGAAATAATGTATATGTTAGTACACTGCAGGTTGATGTGCACACAGGGAGAGCGTTACCACATAGAAAACTTTCTGGAGAAGATTAGACAGCACAGCTCACCTAGGGAATGAATACCAGATGCTGAGAGGAGGTCACACCCTCCAACACTGCTTTCATACAGTGGAGATTATTATCACACAATTTACTATCTATACACTCTCATGATGGCGAGCTAAATCCTATTAGTGCTGTATCTGATTGAGACTAGTCAGTTGTGGTGTACATGTAGGAATTTCCTCTTTCAGTCTAGTTTAGTTCCAGGTTTGGTGTGAAAAGGTGATTTGCTGGTTGACGTTCTAAAAGCGTACATTTCATTTTCTGACATGTTTTAAGATTTTCTATGTGGTACTTTTGAGTAATGTTACACAAGACCAAAAGTAAAAGGTGCATTTCACACTTGTTTTGACAGAGCAATGGAGAGAGCTCACAGAGAAATCAAATATGCTGTGGGACAAACATACTTAACAACTTGTGTCACTTTATCCAGCACACATATATATACGTCCAACCATCCCAGTAACTTAACCTGGTCTTCTCACACTGCAGTGGTACACTGTTGACTTTTAATTCTTCACTTTATGAATTCAAAGTCTGTTTTTATCCTAACCTAGACTGAACTTAACTCTGCTTCTATTTTAGGAAAAGTTGTGCCCCGGAGCATCACGAGAAATGGTGACTTTAGGGATCAGTGAACACTCTTTAAACATGAAAAACAAACCAAGGCAGAATGAAGGGACAATAACTACAAAACATTAAAATATCCTTGTTGTTTCCTAGGCACAAGACAAAATACTCCATGTGTAAATGTGACTGTCCAGCTGCATGACAACATCTCCCAATGGTCATAATCTGAGTTATTTTTAACTCATTGTGTCATGGAAAAACTGCTCTCCCTTTCCGCTGAGATTAAAATACTCCTACCTGATTTTAGATGGTGGGCTGTGAAGGATGTAGATTATCGGGGTAACGTCTTCCCAGATCGCACCAACCCCAGTGTCAACGTGCTGCTGTTCTCTGAAGGTTAACTGCAACAGTGTTAGTTGACACTCAGACCAGAGCCTCCTACTCAAGCGTCTGAGCGTCTGTCCTCTTTTGGCACAACAGGCAGCTCGCCCCTCCACACACAGGCTATATGGAGGACATGGCTGCCCCCAGCTGGTTTCTCACACATATGAGCTCTAAAGGAAACGTGCAGCTTGTAAGATGTTGTTCAAATAAAAAAAAGACTATGACAACAAAGTGGTCATCAAAAATATATTTTATTGTATGGATTATATACAAACATTGCACATACTGTTCAGTCAACGTGTTCAGAGAAAAAAAAACACAGTTTGTGTCATGAAATGATTTAAGTGACCTCATGACTTCGGCCTTTTCAAGTCTTTTCAAAAGCCTTCTGTTGTCTGTTTATGCACAGCAGCCTCTTTTTGGCATGTCCTCAGTCAGTAAAAGTGCTTCTTCACGCTGTCGATCATGCTGGGAGACCAACATCCTATGATGCAGAAGATGTTTGAATCATTGTGCAGCACAAACCACATTTGAGAATAACAGTTAACTGCTGCCTGGTGTCATCTTAGCTGTGAGATGAATTACACTCAGATGCCAGTTTATCAGGTGCATCACTTCTATAGCCATGACAGTAGACTAAATATGAGAAATGGTGCTGAAACAATAAGTTGATAAATCGATTAGTAACTCACGTGAATGAATGGTCAACAAACATTTTTTAATTTCAGGGCCTCAGTCATGATGATTTGCTACTTTTCTGCTTTTGCCAGACAAAACAAGCTGAATACGTCACCCTGGGCCCAGTTGTTCAGAAGTAATCTGATTAGATTTCAGCTTTTAAATTGGATCAGATCTTGAAATGGGTTGTTTGGGATTCTGATATTGGATTAGATCAGTGGTTTTAAAGCTTTTTGTGCCAAAGGGCACACCAAAGGGCAAGCCAAAATCTCAAGGCACACCACAATAGCTTCTATGTGTGTTATCACTCTTATTATGACATAAGACAATAAAAATAAAAAAAAATAAGACAAGTAGCTTTTGTGATACTGTCTACTTCTACTCTACTTTCTTTTCTTTTGGTGGTAGGTCATCTTTGCTGGTGCTTTGTTGTAATTTGCTCCGTACATTAAAGTGATCCATTGTCCCACTCACGGCTTTCTCCTTTTAGTTGTTGTCATTCCTCACACTGGCTGCCAATCAGGGCTTTAAATGTGTCACACACTTGAAATTCCCATGCACAAACATTCTTATGTTTAAATTGAATTAAATTATATATATATTTTTTTATTTAGAGTTTGCCTTTTTATTGGGAAATGGGTGCGCACAACACACTGATACAGTCATTTAAAAATTCATTGATAACCTTTTGTACAGGCCAAGTTAAATATTGGAACAATAGGCTAATGTGTGGTTATCACAAAATCCCACGGCCACGGCACACCTGGATTGGTATTACGGCACATTAGTGTGCCACAGAACACCATTTGAGAACCACTGGATTAGATCACATTATCTAGTTCTGGTTTTGATCTGGATCAAACCTTAAAAATGTGTTGTTCCAAACTTTTTAGTAGGATCAGGATGCCTTTGATCCAAAAAATCAGGATTATCCTGACCCCAGCAGAAGGGTGGATTTCAGAAACAAAATGTAATAGAACTATTACATTGGTCAAATGGATTATATTATGCACTTAATTTGTTTAACAGTCACAGTGTTAAAGTAGATAAAGTAGACATTAGTCCCCCCGCCATGGGGTTGTATTAGACTGCACACAAACTGGTAACTGAGTGTATTTCGGCTACAGTGACATATTCAGTGCATCAACAAAATGCCAAAAATACTGCAGGATCCCAATGTGAATGTTATAAAACAAAGAAATAAGATGCCATACCCAGCCAGATAAGTCATCAGCTCCTCCACGTTACGTCCAGTTCTGGCACTGCACTCATAAAACAAAGCTTGGTGCTGCTGTAGAAACCAAAAAATAAACATTTAATTTATTTCAGGTGATCTTCCTTAGCAGTGTGAGTAAATCTCTGCAAAAAGTACTTTGAATATTCAAATGTGCCTCACCTCTGCTAGTCTCTGCCCCTCACTTGTTGTCACCTCTCTGCTATGCCTGTCTGCCATGTCCAGCTTGTTGGCCAGCAGCATCAGTACCGCACCCTCACACATCTTCTCCTGGGACACACATTCAACAGGTTTCCTTAAAGTGGCTTTTCATTAAAGGTCCAGTGTGTAGAGTTTAGTGGCATCTAGCAGTGAGGCTGCAGACCTAAAACTTCCTGTGTGCAAAGTGTGTAGGAGAACTACAGCAGCTGCCACAAAAACATGAACAGCCCTATCTAGAGCCAGTGTTCAGATTGTCTGCTCTGGGCTACTGTATAACAACATGTGTTCAACATCTGTATGAGGAGAACCCGTTTGTGAATTTGCATTACCCAGGATGGCGAAAGCATGACCTTGCTCTGCCTCTGATTGGCTTACCTTGATATTCTTACCCTAACCATAACCAGTCCCACTCCTGATTATACACTAATGAAAAAACATAGCTATGAGCTAAATCCTGCACACTGGACCGTTAAGTCACTGGTTCTGCAGTGTTGGTGAATTTAACTGACGTGTGCCACAGGCATCAGCTGTAACACACAAACCAAAATGTCCGCAGGCTCTTACCTTTGCTATTTGCCACTCCATTTATCACTCACAAATATTTACAACCTTTCTTGGACTTAGGTACAGCTACAATTTGGTAGCCTAACTAAATTTAGGTTACTGGCAGGCAACCTGTAGATGCCATGGACACATGGATGGATTACTGAACGTGCCTACTGGGCACATGTCCAGGAGCCCCAAGTGTCAACCCCCCTCCCCGGTCTGCACCTGCAAACTGTCACTCAAATTAACACATATCAGTCAGGAAGACTCAAAATGACCGCACACAGACACATCAAGACCACAATGAGAAGCAAAGGAACTGCACAGAGACACTTTTGCATGTCTCTGCCCAGGGGCCCATTGTCTCATAATCCACCCATGCAAGGCCATGGTCAAAAAACTATGTCCTTCTGGCATGTAACACAGCTGGCTGCGATTACCTTCCTTTTATAAAAGCAGTTTCATTACAGGTAACTGCCACCCAGTGTACAAAAAGTATATTATATAAAAAAAAATAAAAATAAACAGAGGCAAACAGATAAATGGCTCTTACGCTCTTACTAGTGTGAAGAAAAAATACATTAATGGGGAGGAAAGCTACGACATGTTCAACAGACATCAGACAAAAATAACCCCCCAAAACAACAAGACAAATCAGAGTTGAGATTCGTCACCCAGGTGGCATTAGTGTCAATGACCTGCATCTGTAATCAAATTAGGACAAACTGTTTTGCATGTTTTTCCATCCAACCCTCCATGACGTCTCCACCTGCTCACCTTCACAGAGTCCATCCACCCTCTCACAGCGGCAAAGGAGGAGGCTTGAGTGATGTCATACATCGCAAGGATGCCGTCAGCTTTGCGGTAGTACTGCTCAGTGATGCTGCGAAATCTGAACAGACATGAGTGAAAGGAATGAGAAAAATCAGAATTACTGCTTCGCTGTTGTATGCCTTTGAAAATCAGCCAAGATGCAGTTACAGTTTACGATCATGTCTGTGGAAACACTGATGCTTAACACACATCTTAAACTGTGCAGCACTGAAGATCTATACAATCAGCACAGTTTTAAGCAGGGCACCAAAGATTAGAGATACAAATTCAGTATCTGTTTCTTCTGTTCCTGAGATACGACATTGAATAATGGCCAGAGAAGTGTATTTTCAGAACATTATGATGTCACAATGAAGTTGAACTTTGACCTTTTGGATACAAAATGTCATCAAGACATCATCTTATCCTGTTAGACATTTGTGAGAAATGCTGTCATAATTAGCGTGTAGATTCCTGAGTTATGGCCCAAAAAATGTTTTGTGAGGCCACAGCAACCTTGACCTTTGACCATCAAGGTGTAATCAGAGTTCAAGGGGACATTTGTGCCAAATTTAAAGAAACTCCTTCAGGGCGTTCTTGAGAAATCGCATTCTATGCTTAAAAAAAATGTTAAACTGAGTTATCAAGTGGCAAAAAAGAGATTTTACAGCTCAAATGGTGTGGCGTAAAATACGTATGGTCAGAAAAAGAGCACGAATTGTAAACGTGAATACGCTGTGTTCCATCTGACCTCTCCTGTCCTGCAGTGTCCCACAGCTGCAGTGCGATGGTGATGCCACCCAGACTTAAAGTCTTCATCTGGAAGTCTATAGCTGGAAGCAACAGAGACCTAGAGTATCAGACACTACTTATAACAACACTCAGGAGCATTTTAATAAATGTGAAAGAGTGATAACAAAAGTAAAGCTTACCCACAGTGGCGCTCATTTTACTGGAGAAGTGTCCCGTGCAGTAGTGCTGGATGAAGGAGCTCTTACCCACCCCTGAGTTACCCAGGAATACCACCTTGAACACTTGCTGAGGACTGACAAGTGTGCTCTAAAATTCAGGTAAAGCCACCAAACTTAACATTTTGACATCAGTTGTTTTTGTTTTTTTGCATTTAAGAGGATGCACATACAATCTAGTGCTGCATTTGCGTGTGCAAAGAACAAAAGCCTCAAATATTTCCATTATTAAAAATGTCTCTAGCTGCTTCAGCTGTTATAAAATGGATGTATTTGGGATTCATGTATTTGTAAATTTAATATGTTCCCTACCTGAGTTGTTTGCACCTGTTCAACATTTTCACACCTGACTCTACGTGACGGTTGGTGTCGCTTGGATGAATTTGTCAGCTCTGTGTCTTTGTCCTGCTTCAACTCATCGGATGTGCTCAGCTGTCTTCAGAATCAACGAATACACAGAATTAGTTGCTTCCTCAGGCAGTTTGTGTCGTGGTAAATGTGCTATCAGATGTGTTTAGTCATACAAACCTTTTCAACGGCTTCTCCTGCTGTATGTAGTTACCTATGATTGACCCTTTCTTCTGCAAAGGCTTTGTGACATTTGGACTCTAAAGGGTTTTTGTGGAAAGTGAGGCAGA